CATTCAACCACTGCTTGGAGTGGATTCCACTATGACTTGAGCGGATCAAACTCGAAAGGAAGTTATCCCTTATCCCTAAATGTGAGTCCTTTTAACAATTTGATTTCTACTCGTCTGCATTATTAAGAGCGTTGAGATGAAAATTCAATGTGAGTGTGGATGTTGTGGCGGGGTGTGTGGGTGCGCGTGTGTGTGTGGATGGGTGTGCGCGTATGTACTGTGTGTGTTTGTGTGTGCGTGTTGTGCATTTGCTGGAAATCACATTCAGTGAAGGCTTGCGATCTCTAGGCCATAGATTTCTATAGGTGTTTATTTTCCTACCAACTTTCGTTTTTTCCGTTTTTTGTTTACCATAATTATTTGTTTTTTTGTAGTTGATTCTGCTGAACTTGTTGTTTAAAATATTTCACCATGATTGCCACTGCCCTCCACATAAAAATAAAATAGTACTTTAATGACATAAAAAGTAAATCTTATGACAGGTGTTCAGTCAAACACATTTTTGAGGAAAGGTAATCAACGATCTGGTATGGAGGCCAATTGACCATCCAATGAAATGTACGAGGCTTGAAAAGAAAAAAAACACATCATACATTGTTACCAATTGGCTATAAATAGGGAATGTTTACTGAACCATAATTAGTTATAAGAGTATGTTAAACAAACTTTACTGGGGAAACAATGTGATTGCCGGGCCCTCAGTGGGAGCGGTTTTAATCACTGATGACACCAACCTGGGTAAATAAAGATATATTGTATGTTACTATGATCTTATCTTTTGCCAAATAAATAGGCCCCACCAATTTCTATCAGATACGAAACATATGAAGTGTAAATATTGCATACTAGGAAAACAGTTCGTAATGCCTTTGCGACCGCCTCCTTCACACCTCTCTCTCTCTCTCTCTCTCTCTCTCTGTCTCTGTCTGTCTCTCTTTGTCTCTGTTTATCTCCCTCCCTCCCTATTGCTAGGAGTCCACTGGGCCGGCGCCAGTTGGTGCCAGTTCGCGCCAAAGATTATGTGATTGGCGCGTAGTGGCTCGCTGTGGCGCCGAATTAATGTCCACTCGGCATGTGTCGCCAAGTGAAATAAACTGGGTGCCATATGGCGTGCGCCAAATGCCACCCGGCTTGCTCCAAAATGTTGCGCCAGTTCGCGCCAGTTTGCGCCATTACACGGCCATTTGATTCCAAAATTCACCCTGTTGGCGCCATTCGCGCCAATAGACGGCTACTTTGCGCCACTTGGTGATTAGTTTGTGCCAAAGGTCGCCAAATTCGTTTGAACTTGCCGCCGCTTGGCGCTACTTGACGACTAAATAAATACCGGCCATTGGCTACCTGGTTCAGACCCTCCTCAGCTGCTGTATGAACAACATCTCTACTAAATATTTACAATTTTGATATGTCTGAGGCTTTTGATAATGTTGGAGTGATGATGCTGCTCCATCAGAAGATGATGAGAGATGCTGAGGTGGCCACTGCCTATCAACTTATGCTGGCCAATCCTGAAGAAGAAGAGCCTCCTAAGAAGAAAAGGAAGCACAACTGGTGGTTTTGACCCATGCTCCACCCACAGTTGAGGGCCGAACGTGGACAGTACCACACTTTGATGGAAGAGCTGAGTGAGAATGACAGGAGGAAGTTCAAGAACTACACCAGGGTGTCCCCAGAGATGTTTGATGATCTATTGGTCAGGCTTACACCCCACTTGCAGAAGAAGGACACCCACAGCAGGAAGGCCATTCCCCTGGTCTCAAGTTGTCCGTCTTCCTACGCCATCTCGCCACTGGGGCCACCTATGCCGAGCTGTCTTACAACTTCCGAGTGGGCAAGGAAACCATCCAGAAGTTTGTCCCTGATGTAGCCAGAGCGGTAGTGGATGAGTATGCTGCAAAATTCATCTCCCCCCCCCCACAACCAATGAAGGCTGGCTTGAGGTTGCAGGTGATTTTGAAGCCAGATGGAATCTTCCTCACTGTCTGGGAGCCTATGATGGAAAGCACATTCGTCTCCAGAAGCCCAACAAATCAGGCAGCCTTTACTTCAACTACAAGCAGTTCTTCTCGGTTGTCCTGATGGCTCTGGTAGATTCAAAGTACCAATTCCTGTGGATCGATGTGGGTGGGGTTGGCCATCAGTCTGATGCCCAGATCTACAACAACAGTGAACTGAAGGAGTGCATTGAAGCTGGCACTTTAGGCATCCCACATCCAGCTCCTCTTCCCCATGATGATGAAGAGCACCCTATGCCGTACTTCTTCGTGGGAGACGATGCCTTCGCCATGAGGACGTACGTGATGAAGCCCTATGGCCGTCGTAACATGGACCAACAGCAGAAGATCTTCAACTACAGGCTGTCCAGGGCAAGGCGTGTGGTTGAAAATGCCTTTGGTATTCTGGCTCTGCGGTTCCAGTGCTTCCTTGGCCAGATGAGACAGGAACCAGACACAGTCCGCCTGCTCATTGAAGCTGCCGTCATGCTGCACAACCTCATCAGGAAGCACTATCAGGCACTGGACGTCCGCATGTTGGACCAGGAGGATGCCCAGCACAACCTCATCCCTAGAGCTTGGGGAACTGCCGCCATCACTGTGAGAAAGTCCTGCGATGCCGCCCTGCTGTTATAGGCGACAAGTGGCGCCGAATGGCGGGCAATCAGGTGGCATTTGGCGCGAAGTAGTCACCAATCGGGTGCCGTTTGGCTCGCGTAGTGGCGCAAACAAGGTGCCCCCTTGGCGCCAAGTGGCGCCATGTGGCGCGAAATCTCATTGGCGCAACTTGGCGCGCGCCATTACATTCCAGTGGATTCCAATAGGCGGATTGTTTGCGCCAAAGGGCGATATGTTCTCGCCATTTGGTGCCACTTGGCGGACACTTGGCGCTGATTGCTCGATGCAAGTGGCGCGACGAAAATTTCAAACATTTTGAAATTTTCTTGCCGCCACATTCAAATTTGGTGCCGTTACGCGCCACCACGAGCCAGTTGGGAGGCAGTTTGATCTACTACACGCCACTAGGCACCTTATTGACGACACTAGGCGCCACAGTAAATTGCATTGGTGCAAACTGGCGCCAACTGGCGCCGGCCCAGTGGACTCCTAGCATATCTCTCTCTATCTCTTCTGTTTCTCTCTTTTACAAACTCTTACTTTTCAACCAAGTTTGAAGTCGAATCTCACGAATTGACTGAAATATTTTCGTTTGTCACGAAAATATCCTGAATGCGCATTTACCCATCCTAATCATAATTCACTTCATTAAATGATATCTTAAAATAGAGAAATATAATAATTCCTGTAAAGCATTTCAAAGGCAACAGGTTATCTGGGAGTCAACAAAATCATGTTTTAACGTAGATGGGGTAGGTACCGGTTGTTCAAAGGAGAAGATCGAGTGGGCCTTCTCGTCGCTTGGTCACTCCGCCAAACTGACACAAGCCGATTCCAAAGGCAACAGGTTATCTGGTAGACAACAAAATCATGTTTGAACGTAGATGGTGGTAGTCCTTCCTTGTATGTGTGAAAATATAACATAATGGAGTATATCCAGCGTCGTTTGCCAAAAGAAAGTAAACTTATAACTCGTTATTATGATATACATACATTTATATATCATTGAGAATGATTTTATATTTTGTTCATAGAGCCACCTTTTTTCCTGACAAATGTATAAACTCAATAAACAATCCAAATCAATGACTTTTAACCAATACACAAGAAATTTATGACACGTTGATAACATGTGAACAAAGATTTTCGTTGTAAATAATTCAAAAAATTCCACGGTCACACCGGCTTTTAAAATACGTCAACTATTGTCTCCTCTTAAATATCTTTTAAAACAATATCGGTTCATATGATATGATCGCAAGGAATTTCAGTTCAGTTCATTTTATTCAAAACCACACAAAGCATGATATAATCTTTACATAAAAATAGAGACTGGTAATAGTAGATCAATCAACATATTTTAACTTGATTACATCATAAACTGAATGATTTTAGGACCCCTTTAGAAGCTAAGCTTGTGAGCGGGGCCCTATAGTCAACAAAATACATACATTTACAGTAAAAAGAATGTTTCGTATGATTATACAATGGATGGAAATACTAAGCTACAGCTTATAGAACATACAAATACTCTCTCAGACACTTTTTTTTTACGATAGTTTTTTTTTTTTTATTGATTCCAAACAATACAAATTAGTTTTTAAAAATAAGGTACATTTTTTTTTTCCTTGACATAATTCAAAACATTTACATTACATACATTGTACAATTGATGAAAACAAAAATGAAATCAGTTGTATCATAAAACAAATAACCCCATCCAACCAAACACACTACTACTACTACCCCCCCCCCCCCCCGATCCCCCTTCCCATCATGCGACACACTGTTCCTAGCCCCCTCAGAATACCCCAAATTGGAGCGACAGATAAAACCGAAACAATCTATTTCAAACATTTAAAACAAAATCATTTAAACGAGGCTACAATAGTCCAGTGTAAAGAAGTTCATGGAAACTTTACTTGTTCCCACTTCTGTAAATGTAAGGCCAATTTACCTGCCCTCCCTGCAATATTCTTTTCTTCTTCCCTAAATTCTAACAGTTCTTTTTTAAACTCCCCCAAAGACAATATTACGGACTTTCCCCTGCATCTATATATCCAATATTTCAATGCAAAAATAATTGTATTAAACGTTTTTATTCGTGGGGAGATACCAGACAACCCTAAATGAATATTTATCCAGTCGATAGACCTTAATTCCCTTAGCTCAAACTTAGCTATTACATTTTGCCATAATAATTGAACATGTACACACTCCCAGAACAAATGTAAATATGTTTCTATCTTTCGCTTACAAAATGAGCACAAGTTATCTACAACAAAGCCGAATCTGAATATACACATACACACACACGCACACACGCACACACACACATACGCACACGCACACACGCGCACACACACGCGCGCGCACACACACACAGAGCAAACGCACTGATGAGTATGTCCTTAGTGGTCAAAAAGCATTTAGGAATAAGAAATTACTAAGATGCAAAGAAAAACTATGTCAATCTTTCAAGTAGGTACGTTTTAGATACCTTCAAGAAATAAACCCAATGAAATTTCAATAACCATGTCTAATCCTACTGTATTATGTTATGAAAACGGTATTCGAACAACCTTCATAAGGAATATAATGTACAAACATTGTCCATGACTTGATCGAAAGTCAATGTGATCGTGTTGTATCGACAATTCAAAAGGAAAGCGCTGTTTAAAAAAAAAGGTATCCATGTGTGAAGCCGGAAAAACTCAGTGATTCAACAATGCCAGAATCCTCCATGAAATAAAGCTGTATTTAAATCAATAATTAAACGGGGCTTATATGACACCATACCGCTTAAAAAATGCAATGCCCACAAATCTTCAGTAAATATAATAATCCAACGATATCTCCTAATTACAGTCAAAATAATTTATTGGAAAAGAACGGAGTTATGTTACGATATGTGAGCTCATTTTATAGAAACATGATACATTAATACATTGCAAGTATAGAAAAACTATCATCACAAAGCTGAAAAGTACTCTGCAAATGTACAGGATTTTAGGAGTCGGTTGATCACTTCGATCTGGAATTGTAACTTGATGATGTATGAATAGAGGTTTCCTAGCGGGTCGTTTTTCGTACGATGCCGACCCGACGTAGTCGTTGGGGAAGTGGACCATTGGTAGTATTTGCGTTGGTCCTTAGTCCTTGCCCTTGTCCGGCACAGAGTTGGACTTTTCCTCAAGTGGAATATCGTCCAAAGGTAGAACCACCTACGGATGAAAAAATTATGATGGTATGAAAAACATTACTGGAACATTGAATGATCTACTTTTGCCTCGATTCAAAGTGGATGGATAAGTCAACACCACACTCCACCCCCCCCCCCCCTCCCCCCCAAAAAAAAAATGAGGAAAAAAAGAGAAAAGAAAAGCAAACCATCTCTATCTGATTCATTAAATACTAATAATGTTATGATGATTCAGTCCAATTGATTCGGGATAGCCACATGTTAGTATGTTCACCCTTGTAGCCGATCCTGCATCTTGTACCACTCACCATTGATAGGTGATCATTAATACACCTGAATCGAGAAAGGGAAATGTGGACAAAACACCTTGACGTTTCCGACCGGGATACACAAATCGTACAGGGACCACTAAAGGGATCTGGGGGGTGTTTCATAAAGCTGTTCGTAAAGTTACGCATGACTTTACGAACGACTTGTATATGAAAAGCCAAATGGGATGCTCAATAATTATTGATTATTATTTATTAAGTTGAACTGTGCAGATGTAGATTAACATTCTTATTATAACAACCATTTTTAATGCAAAGTATATTTTTTGCCACAATTTGATTGAGGTTATTGGAAATATCAGAAAAAAACTTTGGACATCCTATCTGGCACTTCATATACAAGTCGTTCGTAAAGTCATGCGTAACTTTACGAACTCTTTATGAAACACCCCCCCCCCCCCCCCCTGTTAACTTTGTCTCAGATTCTGAAACAAAATCCTGGATTAAGCTCATGCTGCAATGATAATTATAAACCTTCAGGTTTTCATAATACTACAGTCTATTGGGGAAATGAGTATGGTAAAACCGGTCACTCAAAGATGTTTAAATTTTTGAGGCACTTCTTGATCATTTTGAAGCGCGATTTTTTTTTTAGGGCTTCAATATTACACCATATCACAGACACTGATAACACGTAGGGCCGTGCATCTCAAATTTAACATTGTTAATTGATGCCTTTATTAAAACAAGGATCTAACCCGAGGACTCACATTAAGAGTAAGCGTAAATAGCCTTTACCTATATACCGCTGTTTATTTAACTGTTTATTTTATCCTTTTTGAGACAGTCATTCCACATGTTGGGGTTTGGCTCCCTAACATTCAAATCAGAGCCCTACAAATATACTAGATGTATGATTAGACGGTGGAAATTTAATTTAACACGCATTGTGACCACTTTTTTAAGCATGACCATAATGTGTTTGATGCCAGGAATTTAAAAAGAAAAATAAGTTGAAGGATCCTGAAAATGGCAACACGTCGAGAGGTTCAAAGTCGTTATTTATTGTTTCCAGAGAAATTACATTTTTCAGGAAAATTTAGCAATTAAAGAAAAAGATTATTGTTATTGGTACCAATTCCTGGCCTGAAAGGGTTATGATTATTAAAAGTCATCGATAATTGTTACACCCTTACCTCCTGCTCCGTGCCATAATCATTCATGATCGTCATACTTCCAGGCTTGACGGCTTCAGGATCCAAAGAACCGCTTGTGTCGTCGTTATAATGTATCGTCTGCGATTTGGTCACCACTGACGTCGACGTCCGATGTAGACGTCGGTACTGCCAACATGTCAACCCCACAATGATGATTGCAATTATTGGCACCGTTACGCCAACTGCTATCTTCCAAGGCTCTGAAGGGGGATTACAAGAAGTAATGTTACTCTCATTCTCTTATTTTTTTTCTCATTATCTACATCTCCCGCTCCTCATACTGCTCCTCCTCCTGCGCTCCCCCTCTCTCTCTCTCTCTCTCTCTCCCTCTCTCTCTCTCTCTCTCTCTCTCTCTTTCACACTCTCTCTATCCCACACACACACACACATAAAAACTCACACAAACACCATACACACTTTTTCTTCAACTAACATCCTTCCCTGCTCAGGCCTTCCCAATTCCCCCCTTCTATCTCTCTCTCTCTCTCTCTCTCTCTCTATTTCTCTCTCTATCTCTCTTTCTATCTCCTCCCGCCATCCACAATTACTCTGGGGTTATTTTACATGTTGAAACAATTGTCATAGTTGAAGGAGAACAAAATTCCAGTTAAATGTGGTTATTCCACGTATCCCCGCACCACCAACTTTTATTTCTCAAAATCTTCTTCAAAAGTAATAACACATACTGAATGGGCGGATCCGGAGATTTCGTTTTCATTTGTTCACCGTCGATCATTATCATCAACAACATTACCATCATCACCATCACCATTTTCTGTAATAATTTGGTATCATCTACCCCCCCCCCCCCTTTCCCCCGGCCTATCATGCTATCAAGCAATCGCTTATTGTAATAGCCATTTTCTTCGGCAGCTTTCTAAATGAATAATTATTGGCTTTGTGTTATCAATCAAATTTTGCTGTAATGTCTTCGTTTATTATTTTATACATATTCAGAAAAATTGTTGTATTTTATTTATGTTTTAGTGCTGAAATGTAATTTGATATATATTTTGCGGAAGAAAATAAATTCAATTCAATTCGATTCATTTTATTTATTTTTCCCCGGGAATTAGGCTCTCTATTTTTTATTTTTCAGTGAGTTTTTAGAAATTGCCCTACCCATTTTAGTTATAAATATTATTTTTTTTTATTTCAGAATTTTTACTGGGGATCGGACCCCTTTTTATATGAATCCCGGGTCCGCTTTTGCTTAGGCATAATATTATACATTTCTTTTAAATCAGGAATTTTACTCTTTTTTCTTCTAAAAAGATTACAATTATTAGGGTACAAACCTACGCCTGGTTCCTCTGGCTCCTCAGTAGTTCGGGGATCAGTAGGATGGGGCTCGGTCAGGTGGGGTTCGGTTGGTTGGGGTTCGGTCGCTACAACGATGAAAAAATATATATTCGAAATTATATTATTAGTCTATGACTGTCAATCGTGTAAGAACAGTAGATTGTTTAAGAGTCTAATATATATGATGCCACTTCGTTTACCACTATACTACAGTGGCTATTGAATCAGTGGCGGATCTAGGGGGCCCAGGGGGCACGTGCCCCCCCCCCGGCCAAAAAAAAAATTAGTGCTCACTTTTCATGGTAGTTGGGCTCAAGCCGGGGTAACAATATGCAGTGCCCTCGGGAAGAAAAGTTTTACGAATGATGAGGTTCCTCTGGGTTAAAACTAAAAAAATATATTATTAACGCTATCTATATCATTATCATTATAATTGTTATTATCATTATTATTATTATTAGCATTATCATTATTATTATTAGCATTATCATTCCCAAATACTAACACTCCATGCATTCTCGTCCCGGCAATGATTTGGGAATTCCGACATCATCAAATCCTTCACGGCACTCGCAGGTGTATCCATCTTCTCCTTGGTCTGTGCAGATTGCATTCTCAGGGTCGCAATCGTCCATCTTTCTATTGCATTCGTCCAAAGCTGGATAGACACGAAATTCAAAATGACATGAATACAACTGATGAATAAGAGTGCTGGATTACTCAAGGTTTTCCGAAGGTTTATTATGCCGAAGGTTCATAATTCTGAAAATGGATTTGGGTTCAACATTACGAAGTATTGTTATTCCATTAACGGAATTTGAATTAAACTTGAATTGAATTTATTCACCACTTTCATAAAAACATACAAAGGCAAAGAATACATAGAATACAATAGTATTCCGAAAATTTCATTTTCGGAATTACGAACCGTGGAGTTCGTAATCATGAAGCCTTTTTCATTCAGAGAATATGAACACTTCTTCATTTAAGGAAAATGAAACCTATTTCATTTCTGGAATTTTGAACCCCATTTCATTTCCTGAGTCATGAACTATTTTTCATTTTCGTAATCATCAACCTTCGGAACTGTGAACCTTCGGAAAACGACGCTTTAGAATTACAAATCTTCGGGAGAAACGAATCTTCGGAATTACAACTTATGGGAAACAACATGTAGCCGTGATGGTGACTATTAACAATAACTAAGAGACGGTGATCTTCTATGTTGGAAAACCCACTAGGCCTACATCGTTATGATGATACACTATCCGGCATGGTTTTAGCACATTTGTTTGTTTGTTTTTTTTGTTTGTTTTTTTTTTTGGGGGGGGGGGGTTCTGGGTTTTTGCTTAATTTGTTAGCAACTGGCAAATTAGGACTCATACATGTAGATATTGCTCACTGTGGTTTACTTTCAAATCGCCGCAGTAGAATCAACCTATTCAAGATAAGGAAAGAAGTCTTACGTGCAACAACGAGGGACGAATCATCGAATTCATAGGCTCCAGTAAACGAACCGTTGGGATTCTGCAGCTCTTGCTGCACCGTTGTATTGACAGTCGACGCACTTTGTGTTGAGTTTTCAGCAAACGTCAATACGTAGTTTACAATTATGCTGCCGTTACTGAATTCAAGTACCCGACAGTCTTTGTACTCCGTATCATTTTTGTATATTTCTTCAAACTAAATATAAAAGAGAAAATTTACAAATCTATCATTGGTTAATTTTTTTACTGGGGATAATTTACCCTAAAATAATTTAAGGAATCACTAGCCTTGTGTGGTCCTCATCAATGAAAGAAGAAACAATGAGTAAAAATCGCAACTTTGGGCAATATTATAGCCTAACTTGAATAACATTTAGCCCCCTGATGATCATCATTTACTACAATTGTTCTACAATCAACATCTGTAGGGCAGTTTACTACCCAAGAGTTGGTTGGGAGAAGCTTACCGGTAACTTAATGAATTGGGAAATTTTAACTCTTTTAAAAAATATTTAAAGCGACTCATTTCATGAAGCTGGATATTGAAAGTGTATTAATCACCGGAAATTGTTTTGACCTGGATGTTAGGAGTTTTGTGTCGCTATACCGTATTAAAAATATGTGTGTCGAATATTGCTTCTACAAAATATATATCTCATGTCCCTAATTGCATATACACAATTTATTGGCTTACTACGTTCCATCGGGTATTCGCGTCTTCAGGTTAATACACGAACTTTCGTGAATAATCAAGCTCTAATTCCCGAAGGGTCAGGCCGGTGTAACGTTTGTGAAATACACCCCTCTTATCGCCAAACTGCTGGGTCCAGGTTAAACAACTTTTTCTGATACAAGATGAATGATCGGAAGAGTTTGTAAAAAGGCCAGCAATCGACCTTTCTTCATTCTCTTATTGTATGTGCTTGTTTTCACAAAATATCTTATAACTCAACAACGTGAAGTAGCCGAATTTTCTTTAATATGACGTTATGCTTTCACAAAAGTTGGTGTAGCCTAACAACCCGACGCGATGCAGTGACCCGATGAAACGAAGTAGGCCCAATTTACTACTTGTTTATTATGTTGTGTTCCCTGAAATACATATATAAACTTACAGGAGGGGCACAGATAGCATCAAACAAGTTGATTGATGTTTAAAAGAAATATAACCTTGATAGTAGGTAAACTCAAGAGGAAAGCACATAAGTTAGAGAAGTAGACTTGTGAAAACTTGAATGAAATCGGACGAAAAGCTCGAAAGTTATGAATTTTTGAAAGTTGGCTCTTCGAATGGGCTGAATCGGTTATGTCTCTTTCATGTAGTGTTGGACAACTTTCCCATTTTTTGCAACACACAAAATGACTTTAATTTCAATTTTTGGAAATATATGACTCAGGGGGACTGTTCTCTTATACTATGCTACCCACAATATACTTTCAATAGTGCCCCAAGGCAGAGGGCAGTTGGGGAAAAAACAAAAATTAAAGATATTTTTGTGCACAACAAACACGAGAGTTATCCACGACTTCGTCACAATCCGCTGGCCAAACTGCCAAATTGAGATTCACATAGACATAGTGATCTCATAGCTCAAGAATTCATAACTTTCTCATTATTGGTCCAATTTATTTCAAACTTTTGCCATTCTGTTTATCTTATTTTTCTGCCTTCTGGATCTTCTTTTAAATCGAACTTTCAAAAACGCTTCTGAGCATTATTATTCCAAACCTAACACTATAAATGAACTTTTCTGCAATTACAGGTTTTAGAAATGTAGAAATTGCTTGAATATTCCTGTGTTATGATCACATTCTTTTTTTTAATTTTAAGTGGGGCAGGGTATGATGCTTGTAAATTGATGACAAATCCATAATTACCGGTTCACAAACATCAATTTCAAGCTTTTTAAATTCCGGACTTGATGGATCTTCCAATTCAACGTTGTATTCTGCGTTTGTGTTGTTGACTTTAGTGATTGTAATGGTCACATCAAAACTCTCGGGTTCTGGGAAAGAAAAGGTTATAATATTGATTATAATAATCATGATAATAATCTTAATAATATTTTGTTGATAAATACTAATATTACTATTATTATTATTATCATAGTTTATTACAAAATGTATGATCATAATCTGTGAGTCACAACAAAGTTTTCTCCATCCTCTTAGAAATGGGCTTCCCAAAACATCTCGTCACATTAATCCAATCTCTCTATGTAAACCAAAGAGCCAGAATCCGATGGGATGGTGAACATACTGAAGAGTTTGAGATAGGAAAATGTGCAAGACAGGGCTGTATCCTATCACCATACCTCTTCGTCACATACACAGAAAGTGGGATGAGGGAAGCAGATGTTGCGCATTATGGCATTAAATTTGGTGGCAAAAACATCTCGAACCTCAGATATGCCGACGACACAGCACTTATCGAATCTTCCAAAGGTGTAATTGAAAGTCTCACTCATGCAGTAAATGATGCCGGCAAGAAACTCAACTTGCATTTAAATGTTAAAAAGACTAAACTCCTAGTTGCTGGGAAAACCTCAGATACCGATTGTAACATCCAGATCGACGGGGAAACAGTCAAGGATGTGGAAAGCTTCAAATACCTTGGATCAACAAAGAACAGCGATGCCAGCTGTACCAGTGACCTAAATATAAGAATAGCCATAGCAAAGAAGAAAATGGTTGACCTGCATGTACTTTGGAATGACAGGAACATCTCAACCGGTCAGAAAATAAAACTGGTCAAAACCCGGTTTGGAGTGCTTTGCTTTATGGTGCTGTAAGCTGGACACTGCTCAAAGCCGATGAAAATCGCATCATGGCAGCAGAAATGTGGTTCTGGAGGAAAATGCTAAAGAGTAGCTGGAAGGACGAAAGAACTAACCTCAGTGTTCTACAAGAACTAAACACAGAAAGAGATCTCCTTGGAAAAGTGGCCCGGCTCAAAATGGGTTACTTTGGACACATTCTGCGTGGCAGTGGGAGCTCCTTAGCAGCACAAATAATAGAAAGCCAAGTAGAAGGAAAAAGAAAAAGAGGCAGACAGAGAAAGCAGTGGTTTGATAACATCAAAGAATGGACAGGTCTCACATATACAGAAGCCAAAAGATTAGCACAGGACAGAAACAAATGGAGAAAGACAACACGAAGATGTGCAGTTGTGGTCGCCAATCGCCAGCAACTGACGGTGGCAGCCAGGTAGCCAGGTAGGTATAATCATAATATCATAACGACAATATATGTTATATTATTACGTTTATTACTAAATGCCTTTCTGGTCCAATCCATATCAAATTATAGTTGAACGTCTGTATACGTTTACAAAGGAATTTAGACAGTACCGTTTTGGGGGTTATCAAGAAATATCTGATATTTTAACAAATTTAAGAGGCAAAAGATAAAAAATGTTATAATTTTAGGAGGAAAACTGTTTTACGTGATTTTGTACTCCATTTAGCAGATATGGAGAAGAACACACTCTTTCTCTTGCATTTATCGAAATATTTATTTTTTATTAATAATTAAGATTAAATGGTTATGGTATTTCGAGACCTGCCTCTTATTCTTGATTCCACTCTAGAGTGTCACATTGTTTGGTTACTTTAAGTGTGACAAAAGTTGACTTTGGCAGTTCAGTGTTTGATACATCAATTGACGAAAGCTAGTAAAGGGTTAATAGTCAGTGGCAAATCAAGATCATCTGGCCGAGGGATGGGGAAGCACAAGTCCAAAAAAATGATGTGACAAGCGATAGGGGGGCACAAGTCCCAAAAAACATGTGACAAGCGAAACATAAAGGGGGACAGGGAGAAAGAAACAAAAGGATATCAGCATATGATTCTTAATTATTTTCTTGCTCTTTGTCCTCTTTTGGCCTGGGCGGAGGGGTGGGGAGGGGGCACGTACCCTCATCTCCCGACACTACCTGGATTCACGACTAGTACTGTACCTTTGCACGGGTTTTCTGGGTCCTCTTCATCTTCGTAGTAGTCTGGTCTGCATTCGCAGTTGTTCTCTGCATTACACACCTGGGTTGATTTACATTCCCCTCCGCACGGCACTACCAAGAGAGAATATAAAGAAGTTTTAAGGTCGTGCATCATAATACTCTGGCAACAATTGATCTGCGATCCATATTCTAGAGTAACTTAATACCTAAGCCTTTTGCTATTTAATATTGTTTGCTTGTATTTTGTGGAGGGGGAGGGTATGCTGGCAAATGAATCGTATCCATACAAAGTGTTGTAAGAAAGATTCCTAGGACAAGGCATTATCATGATGTTCAGCGCGGTACTATGTGCACGACTTACATGGAGTAATAGGCGGTTTTTCTGTTTCTGGTAACGTCGCAGGTGTTGTTAGTTCCATCGTTGTCACGTCTAGATTATCAGTCGTTAGGACAGGTTCGGACGTTGATCCTGGTGATGCCGGGATATTTGTCGTCATTTCTGTTGTAACTGTGAAAGCGAGCAAGTTACATTAAAAGAAGAACAATTAGTTGTCATTCATTATAACTCAGAACTACTTAGTGAACTTTTAAAAACGCAAGTTAGACATGAATTTAAGTAATTCTAGCGTTATGAGTTTTGCCCCAAGTATTATTTATATAGAAAGAGCTAGCCTGAACCAAATGAAAAACATGTAGGCATAAATATAATTATTAGTAATATTAGTAGCACAATAAATTATTATTGTTATTATTATTACTATTATTATTGTTATTAGGATTAGTATCATTATTATCAAGCTTGCAATTTATAAGGTGTATATGCCCAATCCGTTTAGAGGTAAATCCTTCAATATTCATTCAATTTGGATGACTTCCAAAGCGATGTTATGTTTTATGTCAACTGGCAATACAGAAACCTAGAAAAAAGTAAAACGTAATATCAAGATGTATCTTTCTTAATTAAGCCTTCATGCCTTGATCTTTTCCTTTTGTCTCCCCTATTTTATGTTATCACTCTGTTAATTTGTTATTTACATTGTAGTCAAACTCTATATGAAATGTTGTTAAAATGATAAAAAGTAATTAAATGCCTCGTACAATGAAAATAGAAAACAACATCATTATTATCAATGTTATTCATCTCAGTCTTCATCATCTTCTTCTTCTTCTTCTAGCTAGCTTTCGTCTTTGAGGAGGAATGTTGCCAGAACGTGTGCTAGTAATCAGAGTATACATTAAGCACTCATTATTCATGACTCTAGGCACCTTACTAATAACATATTACATGTGTTATGATAATAATACGCATATATAATGTACGATTAATTTGATCTTATCTCCGATGTAGATTGAAGCAAATTTCATTCATTCATAACATCAATAATACCATGTAGCATCATTTTCCCAAGGGCCATAACAGAAAATCGTATACTGAGAAGTGATGATTTTGTTAAAACCAAGATGCAATTATTAAACTAAATGTCGATACATTGATTGTATTAAAAATGGCTCACAAATAAAGTTATTTGGGAATTATGACAAAAATAGATTCATAGCATTTCCTTTGATCTAAGCTATAATTTTAAGAAAAAAATACTATCACGATAATGGTGTAGTAAAAGCCTTTATGGGAGCCTTACTTGGAATCATCAGGTCATCGCGTCGGGTGGTCGCATTACACGACCTTTCATGAAACGACGGCGGAAGATAACGCGACCTTTCATAGATTTGCCGTAAGGATTCTACAAAGTGTCGGGTAAATTGGACCAGACCACATGTAGATGAGAGGAATTATTATTCAAAAATTACCCCCGACATTTCGTGAATAAACTAATAAAGATGCATGTTTTCATAAGAGGTCGGTTAACGCGACCACCCGACCCGACGCGATGACCCGATGATCGAAGCAAACCTCCTCTTGGGCGAAGAGCTCTTCCTAATATACTGCTTCAATCTGATAAACGACTTTGCATGTCCTTACCATTTTCACAATTATTTCCATTAAACCCGTCAGGGCATAGGCATTCGTATGAGTCAATTTTGTCCACGCACGTTGCTCCATTTCGGCACATATGATTTGAACAGTCGTCAATATCTATTAGTCAAAATAAAGGTTGAGAATATCCTGACGTTGCATATCAAACAGAGAAGGGTTAACAATTTGTTGACGTTGCATGTTAAAAAAGTGGTAAAATGAAAACCCCCAAATCGATATTTTCACGAAATGTTTGTTGCTACGGCAGGCAGCCAGTGAATTCGTTTAGTCATATGAAAGGGCAGAATATGAACTTTTTGGAAACGTGATTTTCTCTTTGAAATTCAGATACCGTTCGCCAAATAACTTTTTGGTTTCCTCTCTTCAAATTGTTATTAATCACTCATGAAATATGCATCATATGAGTTGCATCAACTGAAAGAAGAGGATCTAAGCTTTACAATTAGGCCTATGTGTCATTTATTGATTATAATTGTGATTAAGTTAATGATGAAACATCGATAGTTCTCGGTTTCGTTTATTCTTGGACGCAATGTATATATGTAATATGAGAAATATTCAAGTACGATAAAGACCCAATGAAGACATCTTACCCATGCACGTTGGGATTCCAGGTGGGTACCACGACCCGTCGTTACATGTGCTCGTGCCGTCATCAGATGGTGTGCGGTTTTTTGGACCTTCGTATCCATCTAAACATCTGTATGTTATTACATCACCGTCCCTATAGTGGAGTGGGTTGGTCTCATTCATCACTGGGTCGTCGGCAATATCGTAGTAAAGGCCTAACCCTAGCTCGTCAAGGTTTACTGGACAGTATGCTTGGATGAAAAAGAATGCAGAAACCTTTCTTAATGACTGTTCCTCATAGAGCCTACGGGTTGGAAGGTAATCGACCAACGCATATACACTATTACCACAAATATACTCCGCGATCATTCTGTACTTTACCGTGCACAATCTCCGCACGAGGCATCATTTTGATTGCGTCATTGCCTGCGTCAATCCAGCATGTGAATGCAATCTGACCAAAGCGCAAGTAATTCAACGCAATGTTTGCATGCACTGTTTATTCTGTCGTTATTGTTCACTCCTATAGGAGCGTCAAAAGCCTAGCAAGACGCTAACGCTGCCCTACGTCAGCAAATTGACGCCTCGTGTCCAACGAACATGAAAGTTATTCTACTTTGTTCCATCATGCGCCAGACTTCTTTCCTCTGAAGAGTAAAATCGACACGTAGTACCGGAAACTTGCTGGAAGTCACTTTTGCTGCAAAGTACAAGCGACGAAACGTATTAGGTATAGACAAACTGAAGTTGTTCGTCTTTAACTTGCCAGGGTAAAACGCGAGAATGTGAACAGTAAACAGAAATCAAACAATGTAAACCAGAAGTTAGGAGGAAGGGACAAAAGTTAAAGGAGAAGCCCACCCTGACATGATTTCGTTATAATATGAGGAGACAATTGAGGGAAACAAAATTATAAAAGTCTGAGCGATATCCGATTAAATATAGGAAGGTTATGAATGAAACCAGGGGCGTACGCAGGATTTTTTCAAGGGGGGGGTTTTAAAATATTTTGCTCCCGAAAATTTGAAAATCGCGCCGGCCGAAAAGTCGCTCAGTGGGGGGGTAAGCGGACACTTTTTTTTTTTTTTTTTTGGAGGCCAAAAAATTCGCAACGACTCAGCCGGCAGAAAAGTCGCTCAGTGGGGGGGGGGGGGGGAGTTTTAGGTTTTTTTAGGGGGGTTTACATACATCAAAATACCAAAGGGGGGGGGTTTAGGTTTTTTTAGGGGGGTTTACATACATCAAAATACCAAAGGGGGGGGGTTTTAGGTTTTTTTAGGGGGGTTTACATACATCAAAATACCAAAGGGGGGGTTTGAACCCCCAAAACACCCCCCTGCGTACGCCCCTGAATGAAACACAAATTGGCAAAACTGTGACGTACCTTACGAGCTCCTCTCCGGCTCTATTCAGAAAAATCCATTAAAATGATTTTTTCTTAGTTATACATGAAGGAATCGATTTGTTTCATACAGGGGATGTATACAAAAAGTATTTGCAATTATTATGTTCGGGAAGAATATATGAATGACTTATTTGTTGGAGGGAAAATGTAAATTTTCGAGGTTTTTCAGTACACAGTATATGGGAGGGAAGCTCGCAAGATACGTCACACAGTTGCCAATTTGTATTTTGTTGAGAGCATCTTCAAATATTAATTATTTTCTAACTTTCAATCGGTTTTAATATCAGAATGGACTACCCCTTTTACATTGACATTTGACATTATGAATGCATTTCATTTCTTTGGTTTCTAATCCTCATTATTCAGGGTGACGAGGATCGATTAGTCTCGGTCAGTTAATGTCAGTTTAGCTTGAATTAGTCATTTAATTCATCAGAGCCCGGGAATATCTTTAACTTTAGGAAATTTTGAGCTCATTTGCAGACAGCAATTTTAGCCTCTCGCTCTTAAAAGTCACAACAATGGCGGAAATATTTACCTAGTCGTATAAACTTACCTAAACACGACGGTTCGTCTGAATAATCAAAAGTTCCATTCGTACAGATGGATGATGCTGGACCAGTAAACTGGCCAGGGTCTCTACATGTAAAGTTTGCTGTAGTTCGACTATTGATCTGAGTTTGAGGACTTCCATTCACCATTACCACGATATCATCGTCCAATAGATTGATTGTGTTGCATTGAGCTGTGATCAGAAATATATATTATAATACAATCAACAAAGAAACATCGAATAAAAAGTTTAATCTGGATTCGAAATTAGGAGAAATGCACCCCTCCGCGCTTTTAGTTGTGCCCTTCCAAAGCTTTGGAATAACCTACTAATATACATGTGTGTAAGGCCTCATCTGTTGCTGTCTTCAAGTTGTGTTAAAACGCCCATGTTTTCAGAAGCTTTTAAATCGTTTTTGATTATGTGTTTGAAAAGTAGCAGTGTAGCATTGTTTAATTGTTTTCATCACATCACAGTATGATATATTTATTTAGTAGCCGCGCTTTATAAATTGATCAAACTATTATCATCATCATGATTTTCCCTTTCTGCCTCCCGTTACCTATTTTATGGCCTAGACACTTGTATACGTACATGATAACCCGTATAATAATCTCATATACTTTTACAGTGAACTTTTTCCACGAATATGGGTTGTCATTGTGTTGTTAATTTTCTTATTTCTCTTCTTTTTTCTTTTTTTTTGTTCACATAACATTGTAAATGATCTAGCAAGTGGAGATTTTGTGATGACTGATCTATCAGCACCTACAATCCCTTTTGCCAGCCTGGAAAATTAAGACCAAACCTAGTCCTTTTACAGCTTGATGTTTTACCGTACATAATATTATAGAGAAACAAATACTATTGGGACAGCATAAGAGGACATTTTTCATCAGTCGACTGATCCACTGTCTTTAGACTGAAAGATCTAAAGGAGACCCGCAGAAGGGTAACTGAATTTACTTCTGACACTATAAACATGTTAATCCCAAGCAAGGCAGTAACGAAAAAAACCTGGGGATAAGCTACGGTTTGATAACGAGCGCTGAAGAGCTGCTAACAGGAAGTGCCCTTAAATACAAAAAATATATATTTATTTCTGCGTTTTTAAAAAAAAGTACATAATCATATACATAAATTAACAATTATTTCTTCATTATACACAATTGAAACGTTTCCAGTACATTAAATAAGATGTTTACAAACACAAATATTTTTCAATGAAAAAAAGATACCCCTAAAATGCAGGAGAAAGCCATCATGAGCGATAAGCTTGAAATCAATGGCGGCTAGGGAGAATTAGCGGCATAACTCTTAAATTATATAATTGTACACGCGAAATTGATCAAGTGGATGCAGTGAAATTGTATGTGCAAGAGCGGATGGGATTCTGGTACATTATGTTTATAATCAAAATCTAGTGTATTTTAAGAATTAATAAATTAAAAAATAGATTCGGATTCAGAGACGAAGTTAAATAAGAAACAATTTTGTATGATGATATAATTTGTGTGACTTCTTTGTGTCGCTTTAAGGGTGGAGCATGATTTAATTATAGCTTACCAATAGAAATACAAAGCACTCCATCCCTCAATGTTTTCAAATCCAATTTAAAAACCTATTTGTTCAACTGAGAGATTTTATTTTGTAGAATTTAGTAAAAGGAGCTCTCACCCAGCGCAGCTGAATATATTTTGTTTTAAAAGCTGCGCTATATAAATTTATTATTATTATTATTTTTATTATCATTATTATAGATAAATTGTTCCATAAATTGGGGCCATGATTTCTTATTGATTTGTGTGTAATCAATAATTTGGGGTTTGTTAAATGAAAACTCTCAAAAATATGAGTTGGATATGAATGAATTGTATTGTTATGAACATAACAATTATCGAATAAAGGTGGCAGATGCTTATTCATGTACTTAAATATGGTTTATGTAAGTCAGTGACTTTCTGGGCTAAAAAAAGAGATCCAGTACAACACGCAGGGCCCTTTTTTGATGAAAGAATCGAATTGGTTTGCAGGTAAAAGAAATTGTAAGTTATTTATGATTCCCACACTCAATTTTTGGTATACACATATAAATACATAATATAAGTGATCATTCCATGTTTAATTTTCATCAACAACTACTCACAAAAACGTTGATGTCTTTTTCTGTTCGATTGGCATATTATTAATTTTAATATTAATACGGAAATTAGTTAAATGAAAAGTGTTTATCTTATGTTTAATTAGAGCTTATTACACTTGAACCAGTTCGAAACTGTGTGTAATTCACAATTTAAAACATTCACTAACAATAATTATACATAAGATTTATAAGGCGCCAAATCCACTTGAAAATCAAATGTTCAAGGCGCAGCTTGTGCAAGAGATGAAATTCATGATAAATATATACAAAAGTGCAATAGAAAAGGTACAGACGTCAAAGGCAATGGTACACAAATATTTGTGTCATCCGCAAAAAGAATAAATGACAATAAAGAAGATGAGTTGGATAAATCATTTATGTATAAAGAAATAAAAGTGGGCCAAAATGTAGCCTTGGGAGAGCCCCATAATTAACGGAAAGTAAATCCAAATCAAGTTAATATATTGTTTTCTTTTTGTTAAATAATGCTTAACATATGAGAGGACCTGGCCCCGAAAACCATAACAAAGACTGCTATTATCAGTAATAGAGGTAGTAGAACGTGTTAACATTAAAAACACTTCCCATGCTAAGCAATGGGCCATGTAAACTGGCGTCACTTGAATAATTAAAAGATTTCTTTCTTGTAAAATAAACATGCTATTTAGTATGAAAATTGTATTTACCTTCACAAAGGCCTTCAGATGTATCAATGTCCCATAAAGGGTCCAAACAATATATTCTATCAGGTAGACCAAATTTCGTATTCCCTTCAATGCAGCTGAAATCAATAGCGTCATAGTCACCGTAGGTCGGCTTGTCAGGAGCTAGCAAGATTGCGTATGGGTTCGTGAAATTTGGCCTGTAACAATCTAAAATAAGAAACACAATGCAAGGTATGAAATATTATGATTCATTATTCATTTGTCCGCGTTTAATAGCTAATACTTCCTGGCAGAAGCATGTAAAAGATTCAGAATTGTTGCAAGGCATGTCTGAACAGGTTTTTTGCTAATATTCAACCTCTTCTGTATTGGGTAGCTGATCGTCTTGAGTTTTTGTTTAAGTAGGGACATCACGTAAAAAATAAGTTCTGGACAAACGGGCAGCCTAAGAAAAACGATGACAGGTGAAAATGTC